GAGTCGTCTTTTGCCGAAGCTCAAGCTCTGACACAGGATCGGGAACGTTGGAAGCTCTGTCTGACGTGCCTGCCACCGCGACCCGAAAGGAGAAGCGGCGATGGAAGATGAAGGTAAATAATTTCAATTAACTAATAACTTGTTAAGAACCGACTGACGAATACGTGATCACCCTATAATCCGGAACTAGATCCGCCACGATTTTTTCGTCATGGCAGTAAATCACAAGCGGGATAGATCATACATGGTACACCCCTATTTGAGAAATCAGCCTTCACTGGTACAGGATGTATGGTTTAGTATTATAGGGAAACAAAATAGCTATACGTAAATATTCAAAGACAGTTTTACATCTAGATAAGGTAAAAGAGGCAAATGAGAGGAAAGTGCAAAGATAATGAATGACTGAAGTCTATAATGGCGCAGTAGCGACACCTAGACACGACTAATCACATAGATTTCTTTAGTCGGTTCATCTAACTGCCGCTATGTTTCGTCTCAATGTCTTCTATTATATTCGCTCAGTTACATTTTACGGTAATTTGGCAGCTAACTAGAACTGTGGGAAGGGGGACCACCAAGGATAAGCAAACCAAAATGTATGATAATCACTTTTTAAGTTAACAGTAAACACCTGTACAGGATTATATGACTTTATTCATCTTTCGATGATTACTTTCGACGCAGTTCTGGAGCGATCTTCATGTCGTTTTGCATCCGCACATTCACCATATCACCAGGAGTACCGACAAATCCACCACAGCCACCAGATATTGCGGCGATGAGAGCTTTCTGATAAAAAGGGGGTGCATGATCTATAACAATCATGACAGAGATACAAGCAGATTCAGACAGCGGTTTCGCAATGTTCTATTTCAGTGCTTCATTACTATCATAGATTCAGCGATTCTTGGTATACTCATAGCAGTATTGTCATTGATTAGGTAGATTTTTCGACTGATGCCATTAAGAGGTGATTTTGCGGGCCTTGATATCAGCTCAAATTCGATCGCCTTTAAAATGTATAAGCTGAAAGCCAAATGTTACATGTCTAGGCTCAAAGAATACTACTGATATGAACGATGCTGTGTTCATATGATGTAGTTTCCTCTCTTGGAGAAAGTCAGAAATCATGTCTGTGACATCGCGACGACTATTTGTTTGTTTCAAACCAGCTACCTGTATCTACTGTTGAAAGAACAGAAAGTCTGAAATATCAAGTGAAAGAAACTAGAACTTAGAAGCCCGGAAACGACCTACCAGGCGCTAATAGGGTTAATGAATATTGTCGTTACGTTTCAGCAGACTAACCACATTCGCCTATCAACAAAAGATAGAATTCATGTTTATGCCATAATTATCTAGCGACCTTTTGCTGAATGCTGTTGATTTATTGGCAGTTATTCTGCAAACAGCATTGAACAGAGCTCCATTTTGCGACAAAAAACATTCTAAAATGCAGAGACAACAACCACCATTGTACAGTGGACTCCATGTCCTGTATATATACCACAAACGTCATAATTTGTGATCATCCCATAAACTAATAAGTTGTTTTTGGCAAAACTGAACAGTTTATGCCATATATATGTTATATTTCCTCATTAAAACTGACTTTAAAGAGCATACTACCAACAAACATTCGACACAATCTGCCTAGCGTTTTTGGACATTACCCTATATATCTTCCGGGAATAGTTGATGAAAAACGAAAGATTTTATGCTATTATTAATGGCTATCACAATTCACCTGTAGGAAGCTGCTTCTTCGCTGTTTCGTACATGCCAAACCGGGTGGTCGAATACGTAAGCTACAATAGAATGCAAACGAATCTTTGTACACCAATCAAGCTAGCAACAGAAATATACCTGTCTAACAAGACTGGCTGACAATCCGTTGTACAGTCCTAAAATGCCATCGGTTTTCACTACTTTGATGCCCATACGAATAAGACCAATTTTGCCCGTTTGTTGGGTTTGTAAATGCACCTGCGAAAACCTGCTCAATATGGATATGATCAAGAGTGCATGAGCAGTACCTTTAAGAGATCGAGAGGATGCGTACAGCAGGCTGCTCCCGCGGAAGCCAGACCGCCGAAGTACCATCGACTTAGACGTTTAGTTTTGTCTAGTTTTTCCGCCATAGTTCACCGATTGCCGAATCCTACAAAAGCAGATAAAACAGAAATCGGTCATTTATAAAACCCCTATACGTGGCGCAATAACGGGATAAAATTCAACCATATGTTAGATGTGTAATTTATATTCCCCTTTGACAGATGAAAGAGCTTACATATTTTAGTGACTTTAAATTCACTGCTGACAACATAAGCAAATCTTCCTCCTGGTAGTCTAACATGATGATGAACTGGCCAAAGAATATTCCTCAATTCAAAAATCATATATTCCTTATCATAGCTTCGAAACTTACGAAAGTTCATAATGCATCATCCTTCGCTTGAGTTACCAGACCAGTAGCTTGAATTTTAAATAATGGAATTAGTTCCAACAGTATGCCATAATCTTTTCATATATTTCAAACGTTCTCATATTACCGCACGATTGGCTTTCTGTCTGTTTAGAGCAACAGTTCAGAACAGGTAACATATCTACGTATGAATAGGTAATAAAACTTAGCATGGTATAAACCGTTCACCTCAATAAAATTTAATGATCATATAAACGAAAGATCATTTCTCGGATACTGCTACGTATTTGATTTAGCAGTTATATCAAAGCAGTAAGGACAGTACTATATGTGGTCCACATCATTAATTAATGATAGCAAAAAATATAATTCATTACAAGCAAATCGAGAGTATATCACTGCGATAAACAATAGCCGACGTAACGGATCCCGTTTTAAGGTAAATGCTGGGCGCCGCGAATGATAGCATTAGAGATTCGTCAATTTCATAATCATGCTTACAGGACCATACAGAAATCGGAAGAAATCCACGAACTTTAAAACAAATCTATCAAAAGTTGTTATCCGAGGCAGATCTGAATTTCATCAATACAAGTGCAAGAAGAGCAACGAGAAGCAAGGAGGGCAATCGGGAGTAAGGATGCGATTCAATATGCCGTGAAATCTGGTCACTGAGGAGTTGTTTTACTTGACATACTCCGACATAAATATTCTGATGTTCATGCGACAGCATGCAAGATGTACCAGCTCTTCATAAATCACTTATGATGAAGTCCAGGTGGTTCAAATGGACAAAATAATTGAAGACGTATTTGGCACAGTAGGTGCTTTAATACTATAGGGTCGTAGAATGCTTAAATGGTTGCTAAAACAATTACGAGCAAGGAGTGGTGTAGTACGCCTTTAAAAATGGTCCTCGATGACTTATGCGCCTCACAGCAAAGAAGTGAGCAACTTTTTCAAGTCAATATCTTTCATTCTGAACACTCAAACGACGTGAATCAGGGAAAAACAAAAAGATGGTCAACGTCAGAATCTTGGTCTGCATTCACTTTCATTTTAAGGCCATTTTGGCGCCCTTCCGTTCATGAACTTGACAATACGGTGCGATGCGGACCTCCGTTTCTATGCCAACAGCCTGGGATGCCTTGTTTTAAAGGCAGAGACTACAGCCATGTGGTTAGGCTGTTTCTTTCATTTGTCAACCTCGGAAGAATGGCGAATGACCCAGAATGAGGAATCAACTGAGGACCTGTCGGTTTTGAATTCGACGCTCTACCGAATGAGCACCCCCCTATGAAGCAATATAAGGTAAATTGTCTGCTCAAGGGTATTCAAGAATAACAGATTCACCTCTATGATAACTGAACTCGACACTTCGGTGTTAGAAGTTCTCTTAGACGACAATGCCAACATACCACACGTTAATTAAGGCAGTCATCGAACCCAAAATGTTTAGCGAAACGTCAGAGTGACTTGAAAACCTGCGCTTGAAAACTCCACCGAAAATTTTAAATTTAGCCAACAAAACCTCATGGAAGACCTAAGGCTTCCAATTCAAGAGCCAAGGAACAGTTGCAAATCAGAGCTGAAACAAAATATTGTACAAATACAATAATAACATGTCTTCCTTAAAAAACACAGCGACAGCAGTTTGCATGACATTCCGAAAAAAATGTTCTTCGACTGTACCTGCAAATCATCACGTAACAGAAAGTCTCAAAAAAACAAATATTAATCAAATGCACTTTGAGACGGGCGTCAAAATTGTGAATTGCTGTCTAAAGCGATATGACAGAGCACGCATATTTTGAAAAAGAATATTTTTACTTTTGAAAAGACCATAAGGATTTATACTGCAAAGAGTAACGTTTTTCCGCAGCGACATGCTGGGTGCAGAGATTTGGCCATTACATGATGAATATCGCAAAGTCCGCGAACTGCAATGTGACGTGGCGAGCGCATGTTGCTATTGTGCACAGAAACCGTAGAACTGAACGAAGGTATACTTTAAGTGAAGTTAAGTCGTAAAGGCCGCTTTCCTTCTCCGACATTAGTACCGTTTAGTTTCTCCCTTGGCATATATGTCGTTGTCAAAATTCCGTATGTCTCACGTAGCACTGGAGTGATCTTCTTTAAAGCTATTCTTTTATCGGCGCTCGTTTATAAAATCGCGTCTAATTTACATACTCAGCGCTTAGAATAAAGGGATTCCACTCAAGAAATTTCTTCCTTCGCATAGGCTAAGTATGTGCAAGATTGTCTGATCGAGACAACCGCATTCTAAACCTGCTAAAAATTCGGTTTGCATCGTCAGTTGAATGTATAAAATAACGCATTGATATTGGACGGTGGGATTCTGTTGGTGGTTGCCCATATTTTTTGAAACAAAGAGTAACTCGGCAAATTTCTGGTCAGGATATCAATTCTCTAAATACTTGGGAGCTTCACAAAGCTTCCCTTCGTTAATCGCTGATGCAAAAAGACCACTTTTCTAAACCATGGAAGCTTCTCGCAATGATTTTTTGCGATCTAACCGAAGAAGGTGTATCTGCTTATAATAGACCGACAATTTTTCGTTGGATTCTAAATTTTCAAATGCGCCAATAGATAGGTATACACTTACAGATGCCAAATAATAACTCCGCCACTGCCGGACACAAACCTGTTGAGAAAGAAGGAGGGTTGGAAACCGTCGCAAAGTACTCGTTAGACCTAGCCAACCGCCATTCACGGTATTGACGTCATCGAGAATAGTACCGGCATCGCCCGGGTTGCCAACGGCCGCGTGCTTCCCGCTTTGGGGGTTAAAGCAGTCTGTGAGAAGTCGTCGATTATAACTTGCTCTTCGCCATCTGCCAGCCGAGGGCGCAATATCACAGCAACGACTGAAGATTGACGGAACAACGATGAACACACCAATCGGCGAAAGAGTTCCTAAACGTTTTGAACCGGGAGGCGGACGGCGCAATGACATTATGGGACGTCAGAAAAAGCTCCACGAGAACGACACCGTCAATAGTAAATTGGAATATATTCTCATCCACAGGGAAACACCAGCAGCTAATTGATGAGACCATAAGGTACCAACTAGACATAGTTCAACTCTCGGTAACGAAGCGCAAAATCACTGGAATCCTGAACCTGTGCAGCAGAAAATTAGGAAGGCAATCCTCTGACTAAAGCTGCAACAGCCGAAAGCGTTAACCTTGCCACAGGTAAATGCACTAAATTTCGAGGGAGAATACAATTATTTCAAGGAGGAAATGAAAGTTGCTGCTTACGAACTACCGAATACAGAGTCTTTCATACTCATGGGCAATTTTAACGCGCATATCGCATAGACAGATATGAAAAGTGGAAAGGCACGATTTGAAAGAACGATCATAGCGAGCATAATAAACTTCTTCTGTTTCGTACAAGAAACAGACAGCTAATCATGAGCACCTTGTTTGAGCATCAAAGCGTGCATCGGCATACCTGGTGCACGGAAGCCTATGCACAGATGTTAATGATCCGCTTGATGGTCGTATCGTCTGACTTATGAACTGCGTAATCGAGGTTTGCGTTAAGACAGGCGCAGAGCTGTCTTCCATCACCACTTAGTTGTGGGTGCGCTACCCACATAAAATGGAGTGCCATACGAAAATATTGTGACAGAAGGAACCAGTGAATGAATTATTAAACATTATCTTCGGTAGATACGCGAGCGAAATTTACAAACAACTTCATGCGACGGCTTGCATAGATCTCAGTGATGTCCAGTGATGTGGAATCCGAGTGGGAGCCCTTTAATAGCGGCATTCTCGTGAATTCCGTCGAATGCTCCGGATTCAAACTGGTTGGCTTATTCCCTAGAAGTCAGAAAAGCACTTCCTTGTGGACAACTCAGAGTAAAACATAAGATTTCTGTGTTAAAGAAATGGCCTGGAAGCAAAGAACCTTCTACTCGTATGCGATAAATGAAGCACGCAAAGCGGAAATGAAAGCAGTGGCGAAAGCCAAAGTAGATTCCTGCGAGAAGCTCGCTATGATTTTGGAGTCGAACTTCCAGATGGCAAACAAGGAAAGCTGGCAGATTATTCGCTGGCTCTTAGGTGAAAGAAGCGTAATCAAGGAATCTGAAAGAACAGGACTGGAGAGTCTCTTACTGAGGTAATAGACATTCTTCTTCAGTGATTCTGGGAGTACTTTGAGGAACTCTTTAACACTGAGCAACTACAGGAAGACCCAATTGTAAAGAAGCATGGAATGGATATTATTATTTCTGAAGATAACATTACACAAGATGTGAAGAAGTTCAAAAGTGCAAAGGCTGCTCGATTTGATGAAATCCGCTCTGAAGTGCTCAATGCATTACGAGAAAAGGCAAGTGCCGGTTTGCACCCGCTTCTTGAACTGCGATGGCTACGAAGAATACACCAACAACTGGATAACGTAGATTGTTGTACCCATGTCCCAAGAAGAGAGACCACATGAAGTGCTGCAGTTATCGTGGCATTACCTTATGCGTTCTACCTGTTATTGCTTTGTGGACACTAATGCGTAGCAACTATCTGTAGAATTACTAACAGCAAGGAATGATGTTCGTATGTGTATTCAAATATTTTGCAGACTGAAATTAATTTTTAATCGATGTTGTTGCGGATCTAGGCCTATGCGCAGATCTTCACACGTGTAGGCCTGCTATTTAGAAAGGGAGTTCTTTGCAATCGAGTACCGCAAGATCACTTTCATAGTAGTTTTTCCTAGTCGGTTCATGACATGAAATTTGGGGATAGTTGCTTTCGATATGGATGAAAAAATTTCGGTACTCTTCCATCGTCCTTACGCCAGGAGTCAAAATGCAGTTTACAGAGTAAAAGTTTCTGCCATAAAATGCTTTGTAATTCAGCCTTTGTAACCAATTTTTTCAGATTTTGATGTAGCATCCCAGGACTTATTGATGTTAGATGCGTAATTGAAAAAGGATATTAAATGAAAAATGATTGAAATTTAAATATTAAAAAAGTGTTAGTTT